GTGTAAATGACGTGCAAATAAGGCTGCCATGGCTGATTAAACTCAAATCTTTGTTTTTGTCATTTATAGAGAAGGTTTTGTGACACAGCATACTTCCTTCTGAAACCTTAGGTCTGTAGTTCTACTTCCTGCCAAATGTGCATGAACACTGCTGTGCAGTAGAGCAATCACTCTTGATGTAGAGGAGATACGTTCTTTAGCAAACTTAAAAACAAAACATGACACATACAATACAATGCATCATTTCATTTTTGTAAAAAGAAGGTGTTGGGGGGGCGGGGGGGCTTCATTTTACACAGCAGGAACATTACTAATAAAAAGTGTCTAAGAAAGTGTTGTGCTACTGTTCGAATGAGGTCAGCAACAGGAAATACCTGGTCAACGCGGTCAGCCTGCACGCCAAACTTCCCTCCAAAGCCCTTAGAGGTGTCAACCTGGGAGCAGTGCTTGGACAGTTTGCTCTGGTAGTCGTGTCCAACAGCAGACTGTCAAGGCACAAAGACGCAAACATAAACGCATGTAGATATTTAAAATGCTGCATAAATCAGAAGACTGACAACGCTAATGAAAGATGGCAGAAAACATGAAAATAGAAGGAAAACTAGACACAGCCAGCAGGAGGTGTATCGACTGTGGAACACTAACTACTGACTTAGCGCACACACGCACGCAGACACACACCTGCAAAAGCACGTAGCAAGCTGGCTGGTTTCAGCTACATGAAAAACCACAACGACAGGAACTACTAGTTTCAACCCTCCAAACAAAGAAACAAAATAAAACATTTAACGCTGTAGTACAGCTGTGCACACACACAATGTGTTACACTTATTTTAACAAATCAGTCAGACTACTGGAAATTGTTTCCATGTTTTCATTGACTGTAACTACACGTGGTTTTCATCTTTTCATCAAATTCTACAGTTTTGTCAAGTTGGAGTTGTAAAGTGAAAAAGCTCTGCAGCCTCAGACTACAGCACACTCCCTCACCAGACGTGCTTATATTAGAATTGGTCTGTGGCGAGCATCAACCCGTAAACCCTTAACAACAACAACAATAATAATAATCTTTGAATGTCATGTGAATGCAGACAGACCTGTTATGCAACAGTTAAGGTCCCTGCAGTAGAATTTGCCATCTTTGTTTTCCATTTATGCACAATTTTAAGGAAGACCTATTAGAGTTTGCAGTTGGGGGGACGCTGATCCCTACTCTTTACAATGAAAAGCAATTTCAAATGTCTTCAATGATTCACAGACAGATGAGTTCCTACAATACAAACTGTAAAGGATAGTTCATCTAATTCTTACCAATCTATAAGAAGAAAAACAAAACAACAACAAACAGAATTTGTGTGTCTTTGATCGACTGCACAGGTCTTACTGCCTCCCTCACCTTGTCCATTCGATCTTGCTGCACTCCAAATTTCCCTCCATAGCCATGCGAGGCTTTGGGCATGTTCTCCAACTCCTTCTGCTTCAGCTTGGTATGCTCCGTAGAAACAGTCTCACGCAGACGGTGTATACTACACCAAAGACCAACACGGTTAGGACACAATTTGTAGATTTCCCACAGTGCATTTATTCCCAAAAGAAGGGAAAAAAACTAAAACTCGTATCCTTACTCTATGTGCTCCTGATGGCCTGAGCCAGCCACCGTCTTGGCTCCCCAGCGCTGCTCCTTCTCAGACACATCATTCTAGTTTTTTTAAAAACAGAGTAATAATGTCAAAGCCAAGAACAGTAGTGAGAAAAATACGATTTTATTTAAGTGAACCGAGAGGAACTAGAAACAGGAGAAAATACAGGTACCTCAAAGTCGGGGTCAGTCTCCCAGTCGTCGCCTCCATCGTCTACAGACACATTGACTGACTGTCCAGCTGCTGCCTTCCACATGTTTGTGAACCGTATGCCACACACACTGAAATAAATTAGAGACAAATATTTTACACAAGTTGAAGAGGTAGAGGCGTCTGAGGACAGGCTCAAATTTGAAGCGACCTGATGGCTAAAGTTCAGGAAACAACGAAACTTAAAAATATAAAGATCAACATTTCAGTCGCATCTGAGCCCACTGACATTCTGAGGCACAACTAGAGTATTATTTCAGTATTACTATTTTATTATTGTTTCCCCCACTTTTCTTCCAGAGAACATTAGTTCTATTAAGGAGCGCAAAACCATACACCACCTTATTATCAGATATCAGTCTGCAGGGCATCACTGATGCACATTTATCTCTGCATGCTCTGCAGAAATTGTTCAGAGTAAATTTATAACTTGTAAGTATTTTCTAACACCTTTCTGCAGTAAAAAGTTTGGGATTTAAGCTTTTTTACTTTTACATCGAAAATACGCTAACGTCGAAAGAGCTTGATGTGGCGAATCCAGAAATCTGGATCCTCACATGAGCTTAAGTTGGACTTGTGAATAAATGTTAGTAATAAATTAGGACTGTGGGCTTTACCATACATGTTGTCATTTTACTTGACAATTACTTTTCATCTGATTCAATCAAATTATTTTAGCACTTAGCTGTAAATTCAGGTAAATGCCCTTTCCATAATTCCATAAGGAGGTTTAATTTAAGTTGGTGGATGTGCCAAATTTTCTTGTCGGAGTAACTGAAACAAACCATCAAGCAACAACTGAAAAGCAGTAAAACAAACAAAATTCTTATAAACTTGCTTTTCTTTGGAACTTGAACAGTATGTTTGCTCTGCAATTCAATTTTTCTGTGTTTACCCAAAAAGA